CCGGAGAGAAAACAGGAGTTAATAAGCAAATTCACTTGCAACTGGTCCGCCCGAGGCAAAGTAGCAGCCATGATCTCAGATGTACAAATACGATGGGAGGACAGGCACAAATCCGAAGCTGCAACGAGACAACAGACTGCTCAAAGCTCAGAGAACCATGAAGTCAATGGGGCTAGTATGCTGTCATGAAGATCTCTCAGCCGCTCTGGCTCCTTTATCTGTTTTCAATATTGAATGTTATCATGGGATGCTGGACCCAGTTTCCAGCAGGTGGTGGTCCCCACCAATGGACTGGAGCCACCTGCAAGAAGAATAGCAACTTCCAACAAAACAACCTACTTATCAAGTTATCAGGCTTGGAACAAAAGGGTAAATGATAAAAAAAGGATGAATAAGTAACCGGTCGGCCGCCCACCAGAATAGATGGGCGCCCGTGTGTGTGTTGGGGGGGGGGGGTTGGTTCTTTTCGGAAAAAAAAAGAAAGGGGGAACCAAAAGCCTGATACACCAAGAGGGGGGGCAGCCACATCTGATAGAGACCGTGAATAACAAGATCTTTTGTCAGCATGTACATTCGGACAGGGCTTTGGATAGAGTTGTTAGATGCCCAGTTGGGCAATGTATGTATAGCCAACTTGAAGGATCCGCAATGTGATAAAAAGGACTGAATGGACAATGCAGTGGAATCCCAACAAGCAATGTACATCCTGATACATACAAAATGGCACCTTCTAGCGCAGTGGAAGACTTAGATATTAGCCCTGACCTGACCGGGACTGACCTCTCTCACCGTACACGTAGTACAAGACAGCACAGCGGAATGCTAGAATACCAATGACTAGCCCAATCAATGTCGCAATGCAGACCAAACATACATCATCCTCATCACAAGGTGTGAAGGGGGCCTGGCGCTACAAACAGGAAGAATGCGCCAGGTCCAGACCATACACAGACGAAGAGGAGGGGATCGGACGAAGAAGAGGGGGAAGATGGAAATGTCGTCAACACCAAGTCTTCGGTACAAGTCCCAGATAATCCCTCGTCAAATGTCTAAAACCCAATGCCGAGTCTGGATCCAAATGTCACCAATCCCTCTCTCTCGTAGTCTGCTGATGCAGTGAAGTCAGGCAGCGAGAGGGTGAGGGGGAGATGGTGGACTGAGAAGAGGAAGAAGAAGAACTC